TTAGAGTACATCTATCTGGGCTGGAGGCTGTTTTCTTTTAGTTCTTGAAATTCTTCACTCTAAGTTCTCCTTGAGAGTTTGTGTTGAGAAGTCTTCTGTGATTCTAATGGGCTTTCCTTTATAGATGATTTGTGTCTTTTCTCAGACAACTTTTTAATATTTTATTCTTGTTTTGAATTTCTCAAATCTTGAGTATTATATGCCATGGAGATTTTTTTTTTTTTAAATCGTGGCTGATTGGAGTTCTATATGCCTCACATAAGCATATGTCCAATTCTTTTTCCCATGCTTGGTAAGTTTTTTTACATTATTTCTATGATCAGGTGTTTTTGTGGGGTTTTTTACATGTCATTTGTATTTCTCATAGCAGCTATTGGGTTGGTCTTTTGGTGGTCCCTTGCTATTTTTAGGAAGTCTTTATTTTCATGGTCACTAACCCAAATCCTGTCTTCTGTATCTGATAGTCTGTCCTCACATTCGCTCATTCTGCTGCATACACTTTCAGTGGACCTTTTAATATCCTGGATATGTGCTTGAATCTTTTGCATGGACTCCATTTGTTACTTATGTTGGCTGTTCATGGTTTCCATTGTTTCGCTAAGCTCCTCTATGTTTTATCTCTATCTCCTCTAGAATCACTAACCATGTCTTGCATTATAGTCACTGTATATTATCTGAGAAATTATTTCTGGTTTTATTTTTCCTAAAGCCTTATTTATCTGCTTTGTAATTTCTGCTGTTACTACTTCAGAGTCCAGATGAATGGCTTTCTAATTGTTTCACCTTATACCCCCCCCCCCAGGCTTACCTTTGATGAGCTCAAAGTCTAGGGTTGCATCTTTTCCTTGTCTTCTCATTTTCTTTTTCTTCTTAGTTTAAGTCCTCCATTGATACCTGTAAAATGCTTATGGCAAATGGCTTTATTTCTAGTCTCTAAAACCTTTAAGAAATGACTACTTCGGGCCCGGGGAGATGGCTCAGTGGAATAAGCACTTGCCTGGCAAGCACAAGGGCCTGAGTTCAATCTCCAGTTCCACCAAAAAAATACCAAGAAATGACTACTTGCAGGAGATGTCTTCTAGGTGTAACTGGCTTCTGGATTTTGCATGTTGCGTGCAAGATCCTGCCTCTTCAATCTGTTGGAGCTGAGAAGTTGCTGCCTGTTTGTCCTAGCCCCTTGTTTTTTGGTTCTGGCCAGTATAGTTTATGACCCTTAGGCAGTCTCAGTCTTGGCATACCAGCTTCTGCCCACCCCTCCCATGCAGTGAGTCATGGCTCAAGGAGAAAGCACTGCTTGGCACCTCCTGCTGCATTGAGGTTTCTGCAGGCATTTTCCCTGCAGGCATCAAATTCTTACATCAGTGGGGCTGGTGAGATGGCTCAGTGGTCTAAAGCACCTACTTAGAACAAGCTTAGCAAAGCATAAGGACCGCGGTTCAATCCCCCAGCACCACATGCCAGCCCGCCCCGCCCCCTGGTGGGCGGAGCTGGCCACACACACACACACACACACACACACGAGCGTGTGCACACACACATAAATAAATAAAATTTAAATTCTTACATCAGGTTCTTGCTGGGTCCTAGGGACCTAACTTTCTTCCTTCTTTTCCTTACATTGCTGTATTCCAGCATCTGAACACCAAGTCTCTAAAGGCTGTTTCTAATGTCCACATCGCCATCTTCTCAAGACTTGTGTCCACCACCAACACCCCTTTTTTTTCTTGGAGATAAGATCTAGCCCATGCTGCCTAGAACTTGTGTTGATTCTTGTGCCTCAGCCTTCTGAGGAGTACACTACCATGCCCATTGGTGGGACAATATATAGTACCTGACAGACACAAATTAAAGGAAGTTTCGATCCATGGCTCCAGGGCAGAAACATGACTAAAGGACATAGCAGAGGAAAGCTCTCAACCCATGGCAGCAGAAAGGAGGAGCCATAAACCAGACAGTAGTCCCCCAAGTCATACAACAGTGATGGACTTCTTTCCCCCGGGCCCTGCCTTCTGTTTTCTTACATCCCAGTAATGCTATCAAATTAGGGTCTCGTCATTGGATTAATCCACTGGTGAGACTGGGTGTAGTGGTGCATGCCTGTAATCCCAGCTCTTGGGAGGCCGTAAACAGGCAGATCACTAGGAGTCCGATCTAGGAGTGAGATCCTGAACACCCTGTAGACCCTTCCCTAAAAAATTACAAAAAATAAATAAATAAGAAAGAATGAAAAAAATAAGATTGTACGAATGGTAAGCCCAGAAAAGTCCACTGGTGAAATTGGAGTCCTCTGACCCAGTCATTCCTGGAAACAGACATACTCAGATGTGTGCTCTATTTCATAGGCATTTATCAGTGTAATGGAGTTGACAGTATTAACCATCATGACCCCTCTCTTGCCTGAAGAACTTGTTAGCTAACAGACTTTCAAGACTAGAAAGTCTGGGCTGGGAATATAGCTCAGTGGCATAAGTGCCTGCCTAGCAGGCACAAGGTCCCAAGTTCGATCCCCGGTACCAAAAAAAAAAAAAAAAAAAAAAAAAAAAAAAGACTAGAACAACTCGT